TGCACTGGAGGGGAGGGAGAGGATTCTTGGCCCTGACCACCCAGCCACCCTGCAAAATGTGGGCAACCTTGCTATTCCGTTGGGAGACCGGGAAAAGGACAACGAATCACTGACGATGCATCGGCGTGCACTGGAGGGGCGCGAGAGGATTCTTGGGCCAGACCACCCGGACACCATCACGGGCGCCAGCAACCTAGCTACTGCCTTGCGGGCCCGGGAAACGCATAATGAATCGGAGGTGATGCATGGGAGTGGACAGGCGTAGAGGTGGTAGATTCTGGGACCAGACCACCCTAGCGTCCAGGCAGGTATCAACCGCTTCGCGGTGGTGCTGCGGCTCGAAGGAGAGTCTGATAATTCACAGACGTCAGGCCTGCATCCACAGGAGCCCCTTCCTGGAATCCTAGACCATACCCGGCCACGATTTGCACGCCGCGTTGTCAGTTCTTTGCGGAGGAGAGCTGTCTCCCCCCAGGGTGATAGGCCCACATAGTGACTCCCCCTACTGTAGGAAGTTTGGTTGGACTGGAGGTGACAGGAGTGGGCTGTTAGATCCAACTGGGGCGGAAGGCTCTGGGTATTTACTAGGGGAACGACGGTAGATCACGTAGGACCAGCAAGAATAGCGAACTCAACGCTGTGACCGGTGGGCAGTCGAAGTGTAGTGCGGAGGAAGTATTGCTCATTTTTACCCTCCCGCATTTTATCTTCCCTCATTTTCCTTTCCTTTTTCGCGATATATTAGTTCATATTCAATAGAAAAGAATGTCGTACGCCTTCTCACCCTATAGCATCCTTGCAGTCCCCTCCACCCCTTAGAATCACCAACAGTTACTCGTTCGATATTACTATTAGGCAGGCTCTGAGTGCCAAATCACAATCTGAATTGCCTACCAACGTCCCACTGCCCCATCTGGCCGCTTTCCCGCCGGCTTTCTCAACGGCATTACGGGTGCTATATGCCATGTTGCACTCTAAGCGGCCAAAGTTGCAGTACCCCTATATCCCATAATGCCAAGTGCCCACTAGCGCTGGACAGTCTATGATGACAATCCGCCGGCTACCTCTCCGCGCGACCGCACCGTCCCATCAGGAGCACTACCGACGGCCCCAACACCCTGAACTACGCTAGCTTGTTGGTTACAATCGCAGCTTTTACTTATACCCTAGGAATTTCGCAGCCATTTGTTATATTTAATTTGTTCGAGAGGTGAAATATCCAGGACTTATTCACCTGTGGCTAGGGAGCAGCTATTTACCTTGTTTAAAAGGTAAGGAAAAGAGGTTAAAAGCCAGGAGGTGGGAGACAATAAGGAGCAGAAAAGGAGTCTTGGGGAGATGAGGGAGATCTAGGGAGGGGGATAGGAGAGAGACGTGAAAGGAAGAAGAGGGAGCGGCGGCAGATGAGTAATTGGGATACCATTCCCGGATAAAAGAGATTGCAAAGGCCACGAGTGGTGGGAAATAGCAAAACAGGGGAGTGGCATTAGAAGGTTTATTCTCAGATCCTATAATAGCATAACCCTATTAACTAATAACAACCCGCCTATATTATTGCAGGAGGAAGTAAATTATGATTATTCTGCAACCATCACCCAGCACACGCTAGAGGGGAAGGAGAAAGCCATAGACTAAGGCCATCCTTCTATACGCACTACCGTCGGCAGTCTCACCCCCACATCTGACCGTCGGGGAAAGGATGATGAGATCAGGAAGGTAAGTCGGTGTGCATCGGAATGGGGTAATAAGGCACTTGGGTGGGAGTAGACAGGATCTTGTGGCCCCGCAGACTGCCGGCCCGCCTACTGAGGTACTGGAGAACAGAACACAGGCAGTATTCCCAAGCCGGAAACCCCCCGAGACCAACCCACCACCCCAAAGTGCACTAGAAAGTTGACATTACCACAAAAGAAGCGATTCCAACCCTAAAGGAGCAGTAAATCGGAGGGGAGGTCGTCGACGCCTCAAGGCCCCGTGCACCATTGGCCCAATGGATTTGGTGCCCTTTAAGTTGGTTTAGTACTAGTACCAAAGCGAAGATTAAGAGAGCTTAATTAAGGAAATCTTATTAGAAGAACAATATAGCATGGAATTATTTTCGAATGAGCACGGAATACTGCGTAGGGGTTAGGGAACGTGGTAGTGATCCGATGGCTCCAGTCGGGAGTGACCATGATTTGTGTGTATCATACCTATATCGGCAAGTCGAGGCAGTGACAAAGGGCGATTGAAATTAGAGCAGGAATTGGATGGTAACGGAATTCAGTATTTATGGGTTCGGAAGCTGATAATCATAATCTAACAAGCCCCATGGCATCTAATGACGCTCGGATCCCAAATTCTAGCCCCTATCCAAATCCCAACTAAGGTTCTATCAATCACTTTGGCCAGATGGTCTATTTGCCCACTATTTCCAGACGCCCCCCCCCCTCCGAGAGTAGAATGCGGTGCGAAAATATTATAAGCACGAAGGAGATTTAGTTCCCGCCCACCGGCGAAGTAGACTCAATCCAGCCCCCGGGGGGCGTTTGTATGCCCAACTACAAGGACAACCGTCCCCACTATTTGTCTTATGCTAATACGCCCTACAAGTCGTTAGGATAGTTCCGGGTTAGAGATCTCTCGGCACTTACTCGGCTATAGATGTAGGTGCCCGGAAAGCCAGGGATTAGAGGTATCAACGGTTGTTGTTTGATCAAAAAGCATCTCAGATGGATTCCTTCGTTTCCTAACAGGGGAGTAAGCTCAGACCTCCGGATCCTGCTACTGTCCGGCCTCCCACTTCCATAGACTACGGTACCCGAGGGTTAGACGTGTCTCTTATTTAGTTTGTTCCCCGCCTTGTTCTAGTAAAAGCAATACGGTGGAGTGCCGGAAAGTGCGGTATCATATAAAAGATAACAATTGGGTTATACGCACAAGTCTAACGGCGAGGGTGCGGACCCAAGTCTGTAGTCTACTTGATGCTAGCACTTACTTCTAGCCCGGTAGGTGGCCTTTGTGAACACGATCGCCATTTGACACACACTGCCAAATCCCGACTCTTCTTGCTTAGATACCGCGCTATCGTCAGGGCGGTTTAGCCGCACCGCGCTAATTGGTGATTGTGCTATTGCTAGAGACAATCTGGCGATTGACCTTGGAAACGCCGCTAGTCCATGTGTTTATTTTGATCGGAGGCATGATTTAGTAAACGGTGTTAGTCTAACTCTGAAATTTAGCACAGAAGGCTCATAGCACGGTGGGCTAAACCCCTCAACCGTATTGTCAAGCCAAAGCTGGACACCA